GGCTTGTGGCTGGGGGAGCACTGGGGAGACTGCAGGTTGTGTCTTCTTCCTCTGCCCTCCCTCACTTCGCCCTGTTACCTTCTACTTTGGCTCTGGTCCAGCCTGGCTGAGAGTTGCCACTGCTTTTCCCAGGGCAGGCTGGTGTTGCTACAGCTTACTGCCCTGGAGCCAGAGCAGAGCTGCGGTAGAAGGTGTGGGGCGAGGGGTCACATAGGAGGGGCAGCCAGCAGGGGTCATGCACAGGCATGGGAGGGCAGGGGGGCAAGGATACAAGGTGAATTGGGGTGAGGGGGCAGGCAGCAGAAGGTGGGTACTAGTACATGGGGGGCAGACACCAAGGGGATCAAGTGGTGGGGAGGCAGTCACAGGGGGGCAAGGGACAAGCAGGGCAGGCAGGCAAGGTAAGGGGTGGGGATATGGCCCCTTGCCTTCTATTGCTGCTTTCTCCACCACAACAGTGTGGGGGGGGGAGGGGGGGAAGAGGAGGAGAGGTGAATTCAGGATGACCTTCCATTAGTTAGATTCTTTACATGGACAGTAACAACACATTCATAATTTTCCATGTATATAGAATCTAATTATTGGGGGGGGTCATCCTAAATTCTAAGCATCTTGGATTGAGGTAAATACAGTAGTTGAATCTTATAACCAACAATTTTTGATAGCCTTTGGTACTGCTTTTCTTGCATTGTTGTGCTTAAAATGAAATTTAGCATTGAAACCCACTGTGATGTGTTTGTGGCTTAATCCTATTGGGTCTCCAGGCTGACTTTTTTTTTTTCCTGGTTCTACTTATAAGCTTGTCATTTACAAAAAACAAACAAACAAACAAAAAAAACCTAACAACAAAAAAACCAAAACCTCTCTTCATAAGTTGAACCTGATTTGTCAGAAACAAGCGTTTTACTTTTTTAAAATACTTTTTTTAAAAAGGAAAAGTTCAAAATGCATTTCTCAGTGTAAACATTACTAAATTAAAATAAAAAGGAAGCAAAAGTATAAGTAGAATTCATTTGCACAGCTTGCATGACACTTTTTTTCCAGTTGGTTGAACAGATGCAGGCCCACAGGGCCGCCGAGAAATGACTTTGATAGATGGTTGCTGTCTGAGAAGCTAGCATACTGCAGATTAGTAGAAACCCGAAGAGAATCTCGTCTGCTTTGTGGAGAGTTTGGTCCAATAAGATAATTTTTCTAATTAACCTACGGAGCACCAATGTAGCAGGGATGCTGAGGAAAATAAACGGCCTCAATATTCTTTTGTCAAATGCAGTGGGTTTTTTCTTTTTTCTTTCTTTTAGCTTTTTAAACCAACTTGTCCTTGTCTGTCTCTTAAAGCTTGGGAGGAAAAGTGAAAATGCCAGCACTTTACTGTTTGCATTTTTTTCAGTTTACATTAAAAAATGTTAGTATGATTTTTGTTTTCTTGACATTAGTTTTGAAACAAAATTCTTGTCTGCAAAAATAGCTGGCTAAGCTGTTTTTTTTTTTTTTTTTTTTTTCTTGTAATCCTAACGTCCTCAATGTGGTGAAACTTAACTGATTGTGAAGTGGTAAATGAGGGTATGGTGTGTACTGTAATCCTCCTCCCTAAAACGTGGATAAAACTGCATTTGTTCATATCCAATAGAAATTGAACATACCAGCAATTTTGCGAGCACCCAAGGAGAGGAAACCAAGTAAAAAAGAAGGAGGAACACAAAAGGCATCTGCACTCCCAGCAGTTCTTTATAGGCAAGTAGAATGGAGGTTCTGTATAATAGAATTAGGTTAACTCTGTAATGTAAATGGGTTAACTCTTATAATTGAAATGTACGTTTCACAGAAATTGAGGAAAATATGCCTCACCTTTATGTCTGGCTTGGATTGGTGGTAACCAATATATCCTGTAATAATTTCCAGGCTAAGAAGCCAAGTCAGTTCTTTATTTTGGCTCACATATTTGCAGTTCTTTCTCTTAATTGACAGCGGTGTTTTAGAGGAAAAGTTACCCTCTATAGCTCATTTATCAGAATCTGTTATATCTGATATAGAAATTTCAAATCCAAGTTCTGGTCTTTAGCAATTAGCAGCCTATATAGCTGTGGTGAGTTTGCTACCATTGTTTTTGTATGGTCTTACTGACCTGGTATACAAAATACTGTTTAAGGATTTTTGCTCCTCATCTTTATGACAGATCTTCAAGCTACTGTGAACAGACTTATTTTTATTTTTCTCTACCTACATATTTTTGTTTCTTTACATTATATGATTGATTAGTACAAATTTGATATGTTTGAAACAGCCAGACTAAGATGAGAGTACAGGGACAGTAGCTCAATTAAAAAAACCCCCCAAACCTGTATTTGTACATTGTCCAGTATAATGGGCATGTGGCCCTATTTATGGCATTTTAGTGTTACTGAAATACATAAATGGTTAATAGTAGTGGTAACAGTTTTTGCATTACTGTCATTCCAGAATGGAGTTAGTTTCTTTAGTTCCTTTTCCCTCATGTGCTTGGTGTTGGGGGTCTCTGGATTCTAGCACCAAAAGGGTAACTGCAATCCTATTTTACTTGACTATAAATTTAAAGATAATAGTAGATGTCAAGAAGAGAACATCATATTTAAAAGGTAATTATATGACGTGCCATTAATATTTTAGGATGCTCAGTTATAAGCTTCTTAAAATGCAATCTTGAAGTTGACTTAATGTACACTGCAAAAATTGTACATCATCATTAACTAATACTGCTCCTGCACTTCTGTTGTAACTAAGAAATACAGTAATGTATAGTTTATGCTTCACCATCTCAAATGTAATTTCATTACTTTTTTGCAACGTTCATTCAAAGTTGTGGAATTTGCAAGAAGAACCATGATCAGCATCTCCTCTTACTGTGCGATACTTGTAAACTCCATTACCATCTCGGTTGCCTGGATCCTCCTCTTACAAGGATGCCAAGGAAGACCAAGAACAGTTATTGGTAGGAACATCGTATAATATATAATTTTCTGCTACTGCTCTGCATAGCAAATGAGACATGTAAAAGCAGTTGTGAATTTTGAGTATTTAGACATTGGTAATATTGTACAAATTAGGTTGTTTAACTTCAAGGTTGTTAATAGTAGGGACCAAAATTAAGTTTGGGATTAAGATCTCATTTTTGCTCCATTTTCATCATCACATGTCTTTCCATAGAAAAGTAAAGGGAATTGGGCTCATCCCATTCACACAAGATTCATATTTCATTCAGTTCCATATTTATTGAAGAACATTTGTGATATTTTTTTTCAATCCCAAATATGTATTTTTAAAGAGAATTCAAACTAAACAGAGAATTCTCTTTGAAACAGAGAAAATAATCATTTGACTATAGATTTTACTAAGTGCGTAGCTGAAATTCTTGTATTGAACAAAATGTATTGGAGCTGTTATCTGTATTTGTGTGAAATATCATTTCTCAAAGTACCAAGTCTAGTAATTTGTAAAATTTTAATCCCCTGGCCATGGTCTCCAAAGCCTTTTAGCTTGAGTTCTAAAGCATGGGAGACCCATTACTAATATTTACAGTACTTCATATTGGTTTAATCTCAAAGGCAGGGCTATTTTAATGGAGGAGAGGAAAGCATATGTTTAGAATTGATACAGATTATAGTTTAAGTATTTTTCAAAGTTAGTGTTACTGGGGGGCGGGATCAGATTTCAATAATCAGAGTTGGATGGATTTCATTGTTAGAACCTGGACGTGTTGTATCATTGCAATTGCATATGCACTGGGATTCAGTAGGGAAATGAATGATATTTTCAAATACCCATTGCTAGCTCCTGTTACCAGTAAAATTATAGCATTACTTTTATTAGAAATGTTCTCAGTCTTAAATTAATCTAATTAATTACAGTAGAGCAGTCTGACTCTCACCCTCTCCCTCCCAAAGTGCTCCTACCTGGGCATCACTTCCTTCACAGATCTTTGATCACTATGCCCCCTCACTTCTCTGGCTGCTGCCTCTGGCCAGGTCTCCTAGTTCCCCCTCCCTCCTTCAGCTTCTGCTTCCTGTCTCAGCCTCTGGGGGTAGGGTAAGGCAGTATGTCCTGCATGGCACAAGGACCCCATGGCTCTAACACCATGGGAGACTGCAGAGTTGTTGTTTCTTTTTTCCCCCTTCCATTTTCCCTTTCCCTTTTGCTTTTTCATTCTTTCCTTTTACGTATGCTAGATGGTTGGGTCTGACCTTTTTGACAGGTATGCCACAAATTAAGCCTTGTGCCCTGTTTGAGTGCCACTCAAATCCCTTTTCCATGTCTGATCTGCTGCTTTCCTTTCTGTTCCTGTGATGTGGTCCCTGCCCCATCTGCTGCTCTACTTTTTGCTGCCTGTCCCCTCCCCAAGCTGGCACATGCCACACGGAGACTGCCCATGGCAGTTTACCACCCTACTTTAGACATTTGCTGTGAGCTTTCTGCAATACATGTAATCTAGATTGAAAGTTATTTTCTTAGATGTACCACCCCTAATACCTTTAGCAAGATAGTTTAGTCTGATATACTTGTAGGCAGTATATTAATTTGCTTCACTTAGAAAGTCAGTTGAGTTTACTTCATTCTTATGGCTGAAATCAGAAAATATTTATGCATGTGAATAAATTTACTTATTGGAATTAAATTAAATCTCCATTGAATTAAAAATATTTTTGTGTCAGTGGAGTGGAACAAAAGAGAGTGATGCTGTGGGAAAATGGGCCTATGGATATAAGTGCTGAGTGCTATAGCAGGATCAAATTTGTGGGTGCAGTTGTGTTCTTCATGTTCGCAAAATGCTCTGAAAAAATCTACTAATAATTTAATTATTTTTACCTGTTTCTCTTGTAAGAGGCTAATGTTAGAGTGTCCCTAGACAAGGGCTCTGAACATCTCAAGGATGATCCCTAATGTATCAAATTAGAGTATTGCAAGAACTGTTGCTGAATATAGATTTGCCCATTTGGCTCACATGATGGAAATGGCATTCTATCTTTTCCTTGCATGTCGTGCTTAATCGTTCTTTCTGAAACTTTTTGGAAAGAGTTGTTAGGTCTTAATATAATTCTTTTTAAAAATGTATGTAAAAGATTGTGTGTGTTCCTTTTTTCTACTAGAAAATTTTGATAATTCTTTATTCAGTAGAGTAGTATCATAGAGTGATAGAAAAGTAGGGCTGGACGGAACCTCCAGAGGTCACCTAGTCCCACCCCCTGCCTGAAGTAGGATCATCTCTATCCAAACCATCCTATTCAGTTGTTCTAAACTTTGCCAGACTACCATCAATCCTGGCACAACTTCTGTTATACATAAACACGGAAGTAATTTAGTGTTTATTCTTGGTCAGATCTTTAGTGATTTAAAATTTGTTTTTTTTCACTCCAGGAATTAATGTGTTAAATTAATAAGTAGAACATCCCTTTGAAAGATGCAAACCTGTCAAAAGGTCCCACTACTACAGAGTTAATTCTTTTCCACTTTAATATAGGGCAGCATCCTTAAATTATTTCTGTGTATTCTATGATATTGAACCTTGTTTTCTTGTAGCTTTTGAAACTCTTCATTTGAAATTCTGGAATGGCTAATCTAAATGGTTACATTACATAAAAGTAAATTTTATTTTATTTATTTTTTATTGCCACATGCTTCCACAGGAACTTCCTGGTTTTGTTCTGCTTTTTAACCAGATTTAAAAGGCCTGTTAAAAGCCATTGGTACAGAAGGACATAGACTGTACTCCTCAGTGGGTGTTCAGGTAGAGTAGGTCAGGTAGATGGTAATGCTTTTATTTTAAAGCGCTAACTTATCTTTGCTGTGAATTTCATGCTTCAGTTACACCTCTGATCACAAATGGAGCTTTCACTTTTAATTAGCTCAGGCATATTCTGGGGGATAAGATTATAGCAGAGAAATTGAGCTGTATTGATTGCATTCTTTTCATCTTTGCCTGTGCCTTTGTATATTCTTTTCAAGTTCAGCAGAGAGCATATAAAACAGGCCACTTCTCTAAGTTTGAAGTCCAACAGAAATTTTTCCCCTGCTGATCTGAATATATCTCCTATTTAAACATTTTTTCATTAACCCTTAAAACAGATTTTCCTTTTTTGATAGAAATATGTAATGAATTTACATGTAGTTGATTTGCATTTCAGATTTTGACTCTTTTCTTTAATGGGATTTAGTATGAAGCAATGCAAAAAAGACCAAGCAGAAAAAATATGAATGGCAGGAAGTTCTTTAGAATGTAAGAAAGAGCGGATTGATTTAAACCAAAGCGATTGTATAAAGTACTGGTTTTAATCTTAATTTAAATTAGCAAGCAGGAAGCCTTGATTTTAAATAATAGATTTTTAATCTTGATTTGCATTTATACAAGAAATGTTGATTCTCAGTGACTGATAACTAATAGCACAAGTTAACTTGCAGCAAAATACATGCTTTATACTGAAGTTGGTATTTTTTCCCTAAGTAGAAAGATATCCTTTATCTACACACACTTATTAAAACAATCAGGTAGTTTTTCATACGTTCAGATTATTTTTTTTACTGTTAGAGATGGATGTATGAAGCATTTTATTTTTTTTAGATGTTGATACATCTCAGTGTCGAACTACATTTGGAAACTAAAATGGACAAAATATTTTATATTTTTTTCTTTAGTCTTCAGTGTTAGAAATATAAGAAAATACCAAGTTTAGCAAAATAGGTTTTGTATTTTAAAATAATTGATTTAAGCAAAGGAAGTGTTGTCTCCAGTTAGTGTATTAGACATGTTGCTTTATGATCAACATACCCATGCCTATTTTTGAACTAATAATTTGTAACTGATCAGAAAAAATAAATAAAACTTTCTTGTCTGTTCTCTCATTTTATGGAACATTGAAAGGTCCCTGTCCCTGTGTTTTCAACTTTGAATGAAATTTTCAGAGACCTCAATTAACTGATTAATTCTGAAATGAAGAAATAGAAAGGAATAATTTCATCTAAATACAGAGAACAGGGAAAGGTGGAGGAAAGGAGTGCTGAACTGCTGAGAGAGGTGGGTTGAAGAGATAGTTGAGGAAATCTGAGAAATAATTCAGAAAGACCCAGAAGTAACAAGGTAGATCAGACCCTTGTGCCTGAATGGTAAGTAGGGTTTTTGATAAGGAAGTGACTGGTTAGTTAATGTTTAGGACTTATTACTCTCCCAACAAGAAAGCACTGAGAGGTAATGATGCAGTAAAACTAAATATAAGGGATATTGGGATTTGTGGTAAACTGAAAGAGGGATAAGTGGATCCAGATACAGCAGGAGTTCAGCTGAGCTTTTGACTTGGCTGCTGTTTTGTTTGACAAGTTTTCATATTGAGTTCTGATGAAGCAGTGTTACACAGCACTAGCAGCTTGGATTAGGGTATTAGCTGTGACAGGAAATGTTTGGTGAAATGGGGCTGCAAATCAGTCCTCCTAATGCAGGGGGGCTGGGCCCAATCAGGGGTACAACATTGTACTGCCAAATAGCAGAGACTATGGTTAGATATTCAGGTTGCTGGATCTCTACATAAATCTGGAAAGCTTGCAAAATAGGTTGTTATATGTCTTGCTTTTGGGAAGCCTCTTCTATCAGCTTGTCTTGGTAAGTCAGTGATCTGTCAAGATGATGCTGAAATAAACAAAATATATTTTGTGTTTCAGTGGGTGCTCATTGAGGGAGGAATTCAGTTCCCAAGTAAGAAAAGCATTATGGAGATGGAAAACTGACACAGCAGATTTTGAAGTTTTCAGCTGTAGGGTACGGATACAATTACCAACACAGAAGTGATGATCTTACTGAGGGCAAAACAGGACCTGTTATTTGCTGCCAAGGAAAATGTCATTGGCATAGATGAACTTAAAATAGAGCTTTGGACAAATCATTGCATTCTATGCATGGATCTTTATCAGGTTTTAATAGGGCAACAATCCTTGACTGGCATCACAGAT